CGTTTCAAGTGTTTACATTGAGGGTGCTAAAAGAACTACTGCTGTACTTCATCTCTAATTTGTTTGGTTTTCATCATGAACTGTAACTGCTGATCATTCGAAATGAAATGAGCTTTATTCTCTTCCTCTCAGGTATGAAAAGATCCAGATATGAGGACGACTCTGCAACATTACACTTGGCTCAAGAAAGTGGGCAGAAGGCGAATAAGCTCCCTCGATCCGAGGCAAGTTTGTCAGTTACATCCCTTGTATGTTTTTCTCCCACAATAATAATGAAATGTAAAAGGATTTGATAAGTCTTTGTAACCTTGGTTTTGAAATGGAAAGACTGTTTTTAATTTTACGCCAGGGTTGGCAAAATTCTGAACTCATTCTGTTTCAGATCATGAGCTGTTGTATATGTAAATATGTATTTACTCTCTAAAAAGGGAGTGTTTTTCCTCAATTGAATGGACATTCATTTGAATTGAGTTCACTATTGTCAAAACAATCAGCAAACAAAAATATTTAAAATTCAATACAGCATCACAAAATGTGCACCAGCCCTTTTCAGGTAAATAATATAAAATAAACGTAGACATCTAGGGTAAAAAGTAGGGGTGGAATGATACATGTATTCGTACCGAACCGTCACGGTACGGACATCTCGGTTCGGTGCGTGAGGCCTTACAACGAATACAGGCAATGCAACGCTGTTTGATAACCGGCCGCCAGCAGAAGAACAGCGAATGCCATGAGTTGCGCACTTGAAAACAAAGCCCACTAGACAGTGACCATGTGCTGACTCTGAATGCGTCTCTCACAGACTGACAAAGGAGTATATTTTGAAGGCTTGTGCACTCAACTGTTTGCAAAATGGAGCTTTGTGCTTGTGTATCCTACCTCTCTCATTCGGCACAAATCCAAATATTCCATAATATTTCCATATTTGCGATGTAACTTATCTGAATGCTAAACTATTATTTATTATGTAAATTATAGGCTTTGTACTTCAGTCGCGTTCCAACGGTGAGACAGAGGCAGGTGCGCTGATGTTTGGTTCACTGTATTTTATTTTGATAAAATACCAACTGTTACTGCGCTGTCAAGTTAGCAATGCTGGAACTGATGTGTGTGTGTGTGTGTGCGCCCGCGCTATCACTTCAACTGTTTCCTTATACCAGCAGAATCAACTTTAAACACTTATTGTCTTATTAATAATGCACCACTGTATAAAGGTCTGCTTTTATTTGTGTACACTCGCAATGAAAACACAACTTTTTGAGTTTCCTTTCTGTGAACAAATTAAGCCTGTCACAAAAATTAACTGAAACTCTGCGTATATAGGCTACGTTACGTGTCGCACTGTTTTTTTCTCTTGTTTATCTGTAAACTAAATCAAATCTATTTCAAGAATTTATTCCTTGTATGTATATATGTACTGCAGATTTTTCTTTAAAAATCCTACAATGTGATTTTCTGGATTTTTTTTCTCATTTTGTCTCTCATAGTTGAGGTATACCTATGATGAAAATTACAGGCCTCTCTCATCTTTTTAAATGGGAGAACTTGCACAATTGGTGGCTGACTAAATACTTTTTTGCCCCACTGTATATATATAACATAATGTAATAATATTTAGTATTTTCACATCTAAGTGGAAAAAGTTGTAATTTGTACTACTGTCTGTTCAAAATAAATGAAAAGAAACCGAGCATAGTAGATTTGTTGTTTTTTTCCCCCCTGTTGTACCAAAACCGTATCGAACCGTGACCCCCGAACCGAGGTGCGTACCTGTTAATAAAAATAACAATTGGTCCCTCTATCTCTTTGCCGCCTTGAAAAATTCTCAGTTCCTTAAAGTGTATACGGCCGGGAAGCAAGAAAACACACATTCAAATGTATTCTCAATACTTCAATTTATTCATAGATACAAAGATATTATATAGGCATATGTCGAGGGGAGTTTCAACCCTTTAACCAATGAGAATGTATGACATACATATAGGATCTTTGGCCAAGAACATGTGTTTATATAAAATGGCCACATGTACAGAAAAACATGGACATATTAGGAATAGATTTTGGCGAAGGATGCTGAACTCGATTCATAGTTCATCACGAACTCCTTTACCTTGTAGTCCTAGCATTCATGTCCTTATTTGGGCATTTGAACCAAGAAAAGCTAATGCAGACATGTAAGCATGCGTACCTCGCATATGAGTAAGAGATATTTAAAACATAATACAAGAGAGAGAGAAACAGATAGAGGAGGGGGGATTCAGAGAGAGAATGCGTTGTATAGGGAAGAGTGAGAGAGAGGAAAAAAGAAAAGGAGGGGTGAGGCATATTTGGAACCATTCTAAAGACAGAGAGTGTTTTCTAACAGTACCGAACCGTGACATCTGTGTACCGTTCCACCCCTAGTAAAAAGCATTCTGGAAAATGTCACGTCGTGTGCATATTCTTCTGCCATAGTCCATAAAATTAAAGCTAATGTATTTACAGTTTGTCATTGATATAAAGGGGGTCAGATCTTTTACTGACTGTACACTATTCTACTTATTACATGGCTACTTTTGAAATTGAGTTATTGTATTTTTTTTAAATGTTACAAAGAAGAAAGAAACTCCTACAGGTTAATTCTCCCAAAAATGAAAATGCTGTCTTTAAAGGGGTGGTTGACTGGCTTTTTTCTAGGCTTGATTGTGTGCAGTCTAACATGTGTTAATGCTTCGTTTGTTAAAAACACATTATTTTTCACATAATTAACCTTTATTTCACACCTCTCAGTCCCTTCTCCTCTGAACGCTCTGATCATTTCCTCCTTTTATGTAGCCCCTCCCTCAGAAATACGTGATGGGCTCTGATTGATTAGCTGGCCCAGTGTGTTGTGATTGGCTAAACCGCCTCTAGCGTGTCTAAGCATCCCGCCCCTCTCCTCAGCGGCATGTGCTATGGTTGTATTGTAAACAATGACGTCATCTATATTGCTTATCAGTTTGAGCCTGATTGAGAAGCAGAGGAAATTATTGAAGAGGATCGTGCAGAACCTGTGCAAGCATGGCTTTTAATGGTAGGCCTAAGATTTTTGTTTGTTGTTGTCTCATACTTTTAGATGCGCTGTTATTTGTAAATGCTTCTGTTAGCTTTTAATATATGGTTTTATTCTGATTAAAGCTTTAATACAGTTCTGCAAACACACGTGCGTCCATGTATACCGCTTCTCATAGATATAGTATGTGAAAATAAGTGTATTCACTGAGCTGATGATCTGAATGAGAAGACGATATCTCCGTTTGCATTGAACTTTCAGCTTCGGAACTTTGCAGATATTGTTTATGACCAAACAGCAACATTACACACTAACTAACGTTAAAAAAGTGAAATCGCAATCAACCACCCCTTTAATCCCTATTCGCACGGAATTAGTATTATCTGGGGACCTTGTGTGATTTTGAAATCCCCCCCACATCTGAATTTCGTGTGGTGCATTCGCATGGGATAAGCGAAGCCTGTGATTTCACTCAAATTTACTGACTTATCTCCCGGATACGATGTCAAGGCTTTGAGAGTCCCGTTCTATGGTCCGGTTAGATGGATTTAAAAAAATAAACTAATATAGTTTCGTGCACCGTGTCATTTACATTTCACCAGGTTAAAATAATATCTCAAGCTTTATGCTTGATTTATTTGTAACACATTAACCTCAAAATCTTTTCAGCTTTCTCCTTCTGCAAATTGTATGGTGCAGCGATATAACAGCACCCAAAATACTATCAAACACTCCCAACGCAGCTCCATTCTTTGCGAAAGATGGATAAAAAGGCGCACAGGAAACAAAACCCTTGAAAAATGATATACAACCCGCCAAATACTGGCCAAATCACAGAGATGCCGATTCACACGGGACTGATATTATCACAGGACCTTGGTGTTCGGCGAAATATGGTAGGTAATTTGCGGGGGAATTTTTACTTTACAAATTACAGACATGGCCGATTCACATGGGATTAAGATCACAGACAACCTCCGTAAAATGACTGGAGGTCACCAGGTAATACTAATCCCGTGCGAATAGGGCTATATACTCACACATAAACTGTTCCGAACCTGTATGAGTTTCTTTCTTCTCTATAACAAAAAAAACACATTTTGAGTAATGTTAGTAACCAAACCGTTAATGGGCCCCATTGACTTCCACAGTATGGAAAAAAAAAATACTATGGAAGTCATAGAGACATAGGGTTTTATAATGGGGTTTTTCAATTCATGAGTGAGCCTGTGGTAAACATAACGTGACGATACTTTGACGTTTTTTTCTCCAATGTAAATTACACGCATCCATCCAAAACACAAATTTTGAAGCAGTCATGTTCATTGGGGGGAATTTTTACTTTACAAATTACAGACATGGCCGATTCACATGGGATTAAGATCACAGACAACCTCCGTAAAATGACTGGAGGTCACCAGGTAATACTAATCCCGTGCGAATAGGGCTATATACTCACACATAAACTGTTCCGAACCTGTATGAGTTTCTTTCTTCTCTATAACAAAAAAAACACATTGAGTAATGTTAGTAACCAAACCGTTAATGGGCCCCATTGACTTCCACAGTATGGAAAAAAAAATACTATGGAAGTCATAGAGACATAGGGTTTTATAATGGGGTTTTTCAATTCATGAGTGAGCCTGTGGTAAACATAACGTGACGATACTTTGACGTTTTGAAATTACAGGCCTCTCTCATCTTTTTAAGTGGGAGAACTTGCACAATTGGTGGCTGACTAAATACTTTTTTGCCCCACTGTATATATCTATATCTATCTATCTATCTATCATAATTTTTTTAAAACTGTGCTATTAAATTAGTGTTTTTAAAGATTAATTTTAAGTGAGCATTGGGAGATCAAATTGTAAAAAAGGCATTTGTGAATGGACAATTAATATCCAAAAAAATTATTTTTAATATTATTTCATTTAAATGTTTTGTTGGAGTGCAGAATGCTGATTATTATTATTTTTTTTTTTTTACCAGAAATTCAGTCAATGGAGGGTGTTTCAGTGACAACGCTTCAGTGTCATCAGCAGGTCTTGTTGCTATTTTCATTATGTATACTAACTTCAGCGACGTCAAATGTGTATATACTGTGACGTAATAAAATGATTGTTTTTGCACTAACAGACCATGATTGTGAGATGACCACATTGAGACGACCAAAGAAAGGGTTTTGGCAGAGTTTGGAAAAGGTTTCTTTCGATGTCTCATAATTATCAATCATTACTTGGCTTTTGTTTATTCTTGGAGTATTTGTATTTTTATAGTTTTGTAATATGTGGCTCATGTGATAACATGATCAGCCTTTACTGGGGACTATAGATTACCATTGTTCATATATGTGACCCTGGACCACAAAACCAGTCATAAGGGTCATATAAATATGCTTTCCATTGATGTATGGTTTGTTAGGATAGGACAATATTTAGCCGAGATACAACTATTTGATAATCTGGAATCTGAGGGGGCAAAAACATCAAAATACTGAGGAAAATCGCCTTTAAAGTTATTGCATATTGCTAATCAGAAATTAAGTTTTGATATATTTACGGTAGGAAATTTACTAAATATCTTCATGGAACATGATCTTTACTTAATATCCTAATGATTTTTGGCATAAAAGAACAACCGATAATTTTGACCCATACGATGTATTTTTGGCTATTGTTACAAATATACCCCAGCGACTTAAGACTGCTTTTGTGCTCCAGGGTCACATATCTACTTCAAAGGGAAAAAATTCTCTCTTTTCATTTTAGCGGTCTAAGAATCAGGTTGTTGACCTTACGGAAGACAGAGGTATTTGATCTTGAATAAAATGATCTTATAAAAAATGCACTGTTATATAGACTGTATGGTGGGCATGATGTGTTTTTGTTCTGGTTCAGCAGCCAGACTGAATGAAGAGAGCCTGGTTACCCAACCATCAGATCAGGTACGCCATCATCCTCTCACTCGGGTTTCTCTCTTTCTAGATGTGCATTTTCAGACTGTTTCTTAGCCGTTTTGTTTGCACCTTTGTGCTCTGCAGAAATCGGAACCTTCAAAACGGGAACAATCAAATCCCTCAAGTGCACCACCTATTGCCATTAAAGGTATGATCCCATTGAATTTGTCTAGTTTGTTTTTGTTATTTTCTTTTTTTCAAAAATGATGGTTAATGCAAGACATAAACAATTCTTTAAGTCTTTGTTTTAATGTCATTTTATTTAATGAACAGAAGAAAAACAAAGTGTAACGGAGGAGGACCGTGTCAGTTCTTCAGTACAGTTGGAAGAGGTATGCTAATGTTTTGTATGTGCTACTACATCGACAAGTTTATATCAAAACAGCCTTAACATTTCGGTTTCTACCTTTCCTTCATAGGAGGACTGGCACTCCAAACTCCATCCGTTCCCAGAGACTCAGTTTCCCAAAGAGCTTCCGGTTGTAGCTGCAACTTACAACTTGCCCCAGAAGCCAGTGGTGAAACTAGCTCGGATTGGAAGCGCACAAGAACTAGGCATCGCGTGGACCGTGGATCAGAAAGATCCACATGTAGCAGAGATGGATTGCTACTACATTTACGTTTCCCACGAAAACAAAAGCGGCACTTTTTCAGGATGGAAGTGCCTTGGAGAGATCAAAGCCATGCCTCTTCCTATGGCCTGCAAGGTGTCCGACTGCAAAGGAGATAAACGACTGTGCTTTATCGTTGTGGGGAAGGATATATTTGGCCGTTATGGGCCGTACAGTGACATACGCACTGTGGCATCAGGACAAATATGATTTGGGCGACATTTCTCCAGTGTATGAATGTGACTCTTTATACTAGAATTTAGAGTATTTAAGATTTGAATTTCTTAAAAGATGTTAAGTTGGGTACAAATAAAGTTAAAGCTGCTGTTTTTACCTCCATTTTTGTATTTCTAGTTTTTTTCTTTCTCTGAAGAAAATGTTTTTGTTTTGTTTTTTAGTATCAGAGAATCCAGAACGTCATTCCACTTATATGAATCACACTAACACAAAAGTATTAAAGGAACTGCTGTCTTGTATTGTTTTTATTGGCTATAAAGTTACAAACTGATTTCATTTGTCTCTGGTCTTCATAATATGAGGTCTTCAGTGGTTTGAGTCAACAAAGCAATCAATAGCCATAATAGACAGTGATGTAACGTAAGCGGCAGAAAACATTTCAGACGTTTGCTCATGCTGCTGCAGAAATGACACTCAAATGGAAATATAGCACTATATCAGCCATTCTCAAAAATGTCTGACTTACAAATGTTAAAGTTATGAATTCAGTTCCATTTTCTGCCATAAAAGATGATGGTAGTTGTTTGTTAATATCTTCATTTTTTACTTGATGCCCTCTTTTTTTCATTTCACAGATGGAGCAAGTTTTGTAACAATTGGGACAGATACATTTTCTTAAAATAGTGTGTAGCATCTGAAAGCAGAACAAATTACAATTATATTTTTCAGTAATTATTCACAGAGTTGTTTACACAAACATAAAAAAGGTTACACCAATAACATGTAAATGAAGTGGGCAAAAAGGTACATTTATACCTTAATATTTTGAAAAGGGGAATTGTCTGAACACATTTGAGCAGCCTCGCCTTCTGTTGAATGTTAAGCTTCAAAGTACTGTTCCACAACAATTTCATTTTGAGAACACTATTTTCAACACTGAATGACATTAAGATTACTATGATAAAGAACACTAGATTGTTATTATTAGTGACTTTGTTTTGCACACTTTGTATCTTGCATTAATGCTTAATAATGCTCAATATAGAGTCAAACGATTGCTTCATGACAAAATAAAGCATGTAATATTTTGGCAAATTTATTTTGCATGTTTTTTTTTACATTTTTTCATGACAATTGCCTCCAATCATATTTAGAGATTGATCCAACAGTATTTGCTGTACATCAGAACAGGAAGAGTCACAAACCGTCTGTTAATGTAAAATACATTTATTTGATTTAAAAAAAAAATAAAAACAATATTGAGCCCTTGGTGGGGATCAGTCTCCAGAAACAGACCTGACCTGAACAACTCAGCAGACATTTAAACACAAAGCTGCCATTGTGGTTTCCTTCCGATTACAAAAGCCTTCACTAATATTCATTAAAACCTTCTGAAAATTAAGCATTATACAAACACGTTCAGGCCTGTTGATATAATACTTCCTTACAAAAAATATTAACAGCAACAATGCAGTTAGTCTTAATAAATACAGCTTAACTTCACTTTCACCTAAATAATATTAGCTAATTGCTTGGCAGATTTAAGGACGAAATGATTACACAAGAAAGAAAACTAAAACCATTGGTGTGCTTCTCCAACACCATCATCTTAAGGTTATTTGCATGAATATGACATAAATCCCAAGTGCCCTAATCAAACAGAATGTCTAAAAGAACTACAAATCTGTACTTTTGTTAATAGTTATTTCAAATTAAATGCTGCAAACAAATACAAAAACATGCAATGTAATTAGTCAACACTAAAAGACTATTTTACAAAAAAAAAAAACAGTCCTATACACGAGAACACATTGTGCCACTAATATTGATAATTTGTTCAGCTTCAAGTATGATATAGTGCTCAGCAAACTGGCAGCACAATATTTCATTCAGATTTAGTTTTGAATGACTTTTTCCCCAGGCACATATAATGACCAGGAAACATCACACTAGCATGTTATTTACCACACACTAAGTGTTACATAGAAGGCCAATTTCACATCATGCATTGTGTATGAATACATGTTGAGCCCATAGTGGTTCCACGTTATAAATATGTCCTATTATATCTCCCACTCCTGTCTTTTTTTCCACGCCCTATTTTACCTCTCTAAATCACAGCACTTCTTTTACTGGGCAGGTAGAGCTAAATTATACACAACAAGGTTAAAAAATGTGACATACTATGAATAAAATCTAATTAAGTTTCCAGTATGCAGTGATTAATATTATAAGATCATCTACTTCATTCTAACTTTGGCAAGTATTTAATCTACATATAAAAACAAGTATCATTACAAATAAAGTCTCTTGGCTAAGGCTGTAGCTGGTGGCAGCTAGTGAGGTGGTGTGTTGTGCTTTATTTGCGTTTTCTTAGCACTAGATACATAAAGCCGCTCAGCAGCGTCATGGGGAACGCGACCCAGGCCACGACAAAGGAGTATCCATAGTCTCCATTCTTAAAATTCGTCTCTTTGAAGCTTAAGTGCTCTGCTGTGTAGATGGATGCGCCGGTCATCACACAGAAAGCTGTGGAAGAAAAAAAAAAGGGGGCAATTTACAGTTGGTTGGTAGTATTTAAAGGGATAGTTCCCCCATAAATGAAAATCGTGTCATTAATTACTCTCCCTCATGTTGTTCCAAACCCGTAAGACCTTTGTTCATGTAGCGTCTGCGTAGAATCATGCATGATCTTTGGGTTTTTATGGCTTAAGAGACCCTTTTAGCTTTTAACATTTGCATATAAATTACAGTCCTGGCCACAGACTTTACACTTATATGGGTGCTAAATGTCAAATGGTTCCCCCCCACTATCAAGGAGATGCTAAACAGTTTCACCACTCTCGTCTTCCCATTGAATTTCAAACACATTCCAAAGAGACGTAAATGACCCCCGGGGCCAGGCACCAATGGACCTGGCTGACCAGCAACCTACAACATGCTCACATAACACACACCCACACATAAAGACATTTCTTTATTTAGACTATAATTAATCAGTTATAATTGTATCTGGTGTATGCATGTGTTGTTTGTATGCTTCCCCATTGTATTAGCCTAGTTACAACTCTTTATATGTATCAGTATAAGCACTCTCAATGCTTATATTCAGGTATATGAGTGTATCTCTGTAAACTTCCAGCTGACTCCTCACGAACTCATCAAAGAGCTCCGTTATCTACCGCATCAGGACTCTTGTTCAGCAATCGAAGCCAATGCAAGTAACCGTTTACAATTATTTAGATGCGTGTTTAAGTTTCAGCCCCTTTTAAGGTGATTTTTGATTCTTTGATGATTTTCAAAGGTTGTGGTTAAGTGATGTGAAATACTGCCATTCTTTTACTTTCCTCTCTCCAGAAAAATCTTTCTTTGAATTGATAAATGATTATTTTGTCTGCTCGGTGAACGGACAGATCAAGTAATGGTGATATTGATTCTGCTACAGCTAATTCGAAGATCTAATCTAAATATTTATTATTAATCATAACCAGTTATAATTAGTCATAAATATTTCCCTTTTGAGCTGATTTACTACATTCATCTTCAGAACACAAATTAAGATATTTTTGATTAAATCTGAGAGCTCTCTGACCCTCCATAGCCAGCAATGCAACTGACATGTTCAAGACACAGAAAAGTAGTAAAGACATCATTAAAATAGTCCATGTGAAACCAGAGGTTCAAACCGTAATTTTATGAAACTACAAAAAATAATTGTGCATAGAAAACAAAAATAAAGCCTTCATTCAACAATTTCTTCTCTTCCATGTCAGTCTTCGACGCGCTTTCAGGAAAGTAACGCTGCGTCAGTGTTCTGAGGTAGAACGTCCATCTCTTTTAGTTCATCGTCTGCATATTCCAATGCTATCTCACGACCAATTCGTATGTATTTTACGATGTGGCTAATTCGTACGTGTTAGAAAACACTCTCTGTCTTGTTAAGAGAATGTTCCAGATGTCTCACCCCTCCTTTTTTTTCTCTCTCTCTCTCAGTCTCCTATATATACACAACGCATTCTCTCTGAATCCCCCCTTCTGTATCCATCTCTCTCTCTTGATATTATGTTTTAAATATGTCTTACTTATATGCGAGGTATGCATGCTTAAATGTATACATTAGCTTCTCTTGGTTCAAATGCCCCAAATAAGGACATGATAGCTAGTAATGAGGTTTGTGATGAAACTCTGAAGACAGTTCAGCATTCTTCGCAAAAGTCTATTCCTAATATGTCCATGTTTTTCTGTACATGTGGCCATTTTATATAAACACATGTTCTTGGCCAAAGATCCTACGTGTATGTTATTCATATCCTCATTGGTTAAGAGGGTGAAACTCCCCTCGACATATGCCTATATAATATCTGTATTTCTATGAATAAATTGAAGTATTGAGGATACATTTGACTGTGTTTTCTTACTTCCCGGCCGTCTATCTACACTTTAAGTAACTGAGAATTCTTCAAGGTGGCAAAGAGAATTTACTGAGGGACCAAATTGTTATTCTTTATTAACAGTACGAATTTGTACGACCTCACTCATACGATTTTGTACGATTTGTCTACACCCCAGTGGGTTTATGGGCGGGGTTAGGTGTACGTCATTCTTACTTATTCATACGAATTGTGCAACTTGTAAAATACGTACGATTTAGCAAAAATCGTATGAATTTGTACGAGTGAGGTTGTACAAATTTGAACGAATTAGCCACCTCGGAAAATATGTACAAATTGCCGTGAGATCGGGCTGTATATTCTGGTTCGAATAAGTAAGGCTGGGTAAAAAATTGCAAGTCATCCTCTCTGTTGAAATCTTCAGACATGTCACGTTCAAAGCCCAGAAAGGTAGTAAGGACATCGATAAAATAGTCCATGTGACATCAGTGGTTCAACCGTAATTTTATGAAGCTACGAGAATACGTTTTGTGTGCAAAGAAAACAAAAATAATGACTTTATTCAACAATTTCTTCTCTTCTGTGTCAGTCTTCGACGTGTGTTCAGGAGAGTACCGTAACGTATGCGTGTGATGCTGCTGACACAGGAGCCGGTGTTCTGACGTAGAACGTCCATCTCTCTTAGTTCATCGTCTGTATATTCTGGTTCAAATAAAATTGCAAGTCATCCTCTCTGTTGAAATCTTCAGACATGTTTACGAATGATGATGTTTGCGTGCATCTTCCTCTGCTTGTAAACTGAACGGCGGCTCCTGCGTCAGCAGCACCACACGCATGCGTCATGGTACTCTCGTGAATGCGCAGCGGAGAATGGCACAGAAGAGAAGTAGTTGTTGAATAAAGTTGCTATTTTATTTTTCTCACAAAAAGTATTCTCGTAGCTTCATAAAATTACGGTCGAACCACTGATGTCACATGGACTATTTTAAAGATGTCCTTGCTACCTTTCTGGGCCTTGAACGTAGTAGTGCCTTTGCTGTCTATGAAGGGTAAGAAAACTCTCGGATTTAATCAAAAATATCTTAATTTGTGTTCCGAAGATGAACGAAGGTCTTACTCATTTGAAACAACATGAGGGTGAGTAATTAATGACAGAATTTTTCATTTAAGGGTGAACTATCCCTTTAACACAGCACAGGCTATTACTTGACAGATAAAGATTCAACATTCAACAAACAATACAATAAATACAAACATATTATGAAATTTAACTTTTTGTAAACAAAATATTTTCTAAAGGAATAGTTTACCCAAAAATACAAATCTGAGGTCATCCCAGATGAGTTTGTTTCCTTGTTGGAACAGATTTGGAGAAATGTAGCATTACATCAGTTGCTCACCAATGGATCCTCTGTAGTTAATGGGTGCCGTCAGAATGAGAGTCCAAACAGCTGATAAAAACGCCACAACAATCCTCAAGTAATCCACACAACTCCAGTTCATCAATTAACTGCTTGTGAAGTGATGTCCATCTACATATTTGTTTAAAACGGTTTTTGACTATTTTTGTTATGAATACAGGACTCACGTTTTAGTTGGAAGAAACGGTTTGAAGTGGAAAAACGACTAAAAGAATGGATTTGTTTCTTTCAAACATGCAGGATTTCACTTCACAAGACATTAAGTGATGGACTGGAGTGGTGTTGTTTGGACTCTCATTCTGACGGCACCCATTCACTGCAGAGGATCCATTAGTGAGCACCTGATGTAATGCTAAATTTCTCCAATTCTGATCTGAAGAAGAAACAAAATCATCTACGTCTTGGATGATCTGAGAGTGAGTAAACTTTCAGTTTTGCAAGAACTATTTCTTTAGATGTACATGTGATTTAAAAAATGGTAAAAGTTTTCCATCTTACAAAATAAGTCCTTCAAAACTGGGTCAATTTACATACTAGAAAGATGGCATGAAAATAACAGTACAAATACTTCAAGGTGCTTCAAGACCCCTCTTGACCTGCGATTTTGCGTAATGAATGATTTTCTTTGCATAGTACATAGGCAATAAGAAACGGCAATTGTGCTGCCAACAATGATTAGAAATATAAACTGTGGGCATGAACTCACCAGACAAGAGCTGGATGATGGCCGTGAAGACAAATCTCTCGCCCTGCTTCAGACGGAAGAGCTGAAGGATGAAGACAAAGAAACCCACACAGCACAGGATAGTGGCCAGTATCATAGTGGCCTGGACAGTCTGAAGATAGGCTGATAAAGAGGAAGAGAACCAAGAGGCAATAAGTGTCTTCTTCTGGCCAGGTTTTCTCAATAAACAACTTTAAACAATGCCATTAACACAATCATGTATACTGTATGACATCTTGCTCTGACCAAAGTAAATGATGGTTATATTTGACTTAGATTGTATGATATTCAAGGCTTACCTGCGTCAGAGGTTGCACTGTTCGGTATATCATAACAGCCTGTGGAGTTGCAGTGATACCAGAGATCTAAGGTGTAATCCTCCCAAACCCACCATACCTTAAAAAAAAAGGAGAATATATATTGACAGAATATAAACTCTGAGAAAAACTGTCCTTTTTCATGATACTGTGTTTTAAAGATCATTTTGTAAGATCCAAATAAGCTTTGCAGATTTTTATTAGAAAGTATATAATATACATACAAACATAGAAAATTGTATTTCTTAAATAAAATGACTACAATTATTATAGCAGTATGCGCTGCTGTAGATCAATAGATTATTTGAGGTAACCTTATCAGAAATGGTGCTTGATGTGTTAAGCTGGGTTTTTGCTGAAATCCCTAACAATAACACTGAGCAGTAACAGTGCTTATAGCAGACTAATAAAAAATTTAAAAAAAGACTGAAGATCAACTTACATTTCTGATGGTTGCTATGAAGAGTAGTATTGCTGAGGTGATGTGGAAGAGGACGATGGAGGCCAAAACAATCAACATAGCTGATGGTGGAACAGAAAATCAAAAGCAGGAGAATCTGGAGGGCAAAAGGAAGATACAAGAATGTTATAAAAATCCTGTTAAATGAATACAAAGCTGAGACTGAGAACGGGAACTGTTGTTTTCTGCTTCTCTTGGTGGGAAAATCACCATGTGCCCATCTGAACAACCTTCTCTTATTCTGCACTTTGACCTTGGAAGTACTTTTCCACAAGTATTTATTTTTTTCTTACCAATGACAAGTCGTCAAAAGATAAACATTATTTTTAAATTATTTGGCAACACTTTACAATAAGGTTCCTGTTAACTTAAATACATTACACGAGTTAACAATGACAAATACCCCCAAAGCATGCACTTAATCTTCGTTTATGTAAATTTGAAATTATTACCAATAATACCAGAATCTGTTAACATGACCCGAGTTAACATGAATTAACAATGAACAGATGTATTTTGTATTAATGTTAACAAAGATGAATAAATACTTATGCATTGTTCATTTTACAATAATATCCGTTTATACATTAACATTAACTAATGGGATATTACTGTAAAGTGTTAGCAATTAATTATATTATTAGTTACCTATTTCTGTTTTGCATATGATAGACCTTGCACCAATAATGCAGCAAATTAAAATCAAATAAATGTCACACAGATTTAAACATGCAAAACAATACAAACCATTTGATATTAAGCTACATTTATGATTTTGTCCGATTTTATTGATCATTCAAGTAGACAGGAGGCAAGTCTAAAACCTCACACGCTTTGCTGAAAAATGCAGTCGGCTTCTGCTTACGTCACACACGAGCCTCAGAGTCAGCTGCTAATTTAGCTTCCCATGATTCACTGCACTATGGCCACATACAGACAGCCTATACATCTCAGCCTGCACCACAGCCGCTCCGAGCCATTTATGAATGGCTTTTTTCCCTCCTTCACCTTGTATAGTGGGTGTAAGTTTATACTGGAGGTAAGAAACCCATTTTTTGCTCTGAAGTGCTTTAATGCTCAGTACTTGAGGATACAATAAATTTAAAAAAGACACCCCTAAGAACTATATCACCTCAGCACTATGTCTGTAAAATACATGTCGCAAAAACCATACGTGGTGAACAGGGTTTTATCTATTTGCTAGGATACAAAATCCTTTACATCATTTTATTTGAGACACTTAGCAATGTTAACTAGACACACAAACAGAACTGTAAACTCTAAAATACAAGACTAGTTTACGCAAGGCTTACTGCAGCAGGAACAGATGTAGCCTATGACTGAAGAATTTAACAGATGTGGTGTCCAGAAAATATAACAAAAATCTCTGGGTTTTTTCTTGGTAATAAAAAAGGATACAGAAGGCGGTAAATGAACATAGTGAAAGAAAACAATGATATAATCAGCAGTTAAAGATTATTGTTTTCCTCCTTTAAAGTCTTCCTCATTTAATCTGTTTTCTTATTATACAGCTTATCCACATCAAGATCATCAATAACTACCATCTTAATTAAGATGAAGCTGTTTTGCTCCAGGTGTATGAATCTAACCTGAGGTGGCGCCATTGAGCCAAGATGTGAAAACTCTCCACAATTATCAAGAAGCATCAAGTGGGGAATATTTATTCATTTATCTGAAATCCCCACTCACAACTTGTAGAAAAAAACCTGGACATCCTGCTTACCTTCTCCTTTGGTGTCAAAGACAGGATGTGGAAGCGTATGTAATGGCAGTTTTCATTCGTGGGTAAACTGTCTCTTTAAGATGGGATGTGGGAGACAGGGTGTGGCATTTGAGCAATGAAGAGTTGAGGTGGGAAAATGGTAAAATGGAGGGTTTCTGTTTGAGCTTATCTTAAAGAAATCAAAGAAACCTACCGCTCACAACCGAGCCAGAAAGATTTAGCCAACACGGTCATACTAAAAGAGACCCGAGGCGGAAGAGGAAGCCAGCCTTAGTACACAAGGGAGGCACAATGTGGGAGGATACAGGATGACGCTTGTCTAGTAGAAGTCTCTCAGAGCAGTCTCCACAAACACAGGCCTGAAAATCCTCTCTTTTTTAACTTTCACATTTTCACAAGGTCAGGGAAGGTACTGGGAACAAAATTAAGTGTAGGCATTAATAAAGACTGAGAACGATGGTCATTTATTCAGAGCCAGTAGTGGAAATCCTCTGGAGACCTTCACCCCCTCAGGCTGTACATTAGCTGTCTGTCTCTGTAGAGGGTAAAGTGGGAGGCTGGTCTCATTAAATCGTAGCGTAATCATTAACTCGGTCCACACATGGTCTTAATTTTCTCTTCAGCTGCCTTCCTGTGTTGTACTGAGGGGCATAGTCATAGAGGGCTGGAACGGGAGGAGCCAGGGGAGGAGGAACATGAGACCAAAAAGTCAAAACATGCCGTCCAAAAATCTGTCATCTGAAGTAAGAAATGTTTGAATCATGCATTTACAATGAATGGAGACTGAAGCTTTCAAGCTTCAAAAAGGATGCAAAAGCAAAAGAAATCAGGTAGTTATAAAGAAACCAGAAAACTTAACTTTCTTAATTGTGACCCTGGAGCACAAAACCAGTCTTAAGTCACTGGGGTATATTTGTAGCAATAGCCAAAAATACATTGTATGGTTCAAAATTATTGATTTTTCCTTTTATGCCAAAATCATTAGGATATTAAGTAAAGATCATGTTCCATGAAGATATTTTGTAAATTTCCTACCGTAAATATATCAAAACGTAATTTTTGATTAGTATTATGCATTTCTAAGAACTTCATTTGGACAACTTTAAAGGCCATTTTATCAGTATTTAGATTTTTTTTTTGCACCCTCAGATTCCAGATTTTCAAATAGGCTAGTTGTATCTCGGCCAGATATTGTCCTATCCTAACAAACCATACATTGATGGAAAGCTTATTTATTCAGCTTTCAGATGATGTATAATTCTCAATTTCGAAAAATTGACCCTTATGACTGGTTTTGTGCTCCAGGGTCACATTTAGGGTTTTGAAGTTACTCCTTCATGCAGTTTTCATCCGAGACTGTAGCAGTCTGTTAGGATCACTGCATTTCCAAGAGCTGCTAGGCGGCGTCTGTTAATTTGCTGAAATCCATAATGGCGCAAATGTGGCATTTAACACACAGAGAACCAGTGTTTTGTTGTTTATGTCACTAGCGGCTCTGTGAATGGTGGGAAATTGAGGACGAAAATTCCTGTAGATGGTTAAGAAGTGAGGAAAATGAAACCCTTTGACTAGGCAGAGGCCCACCAAACGCCGAATACATGCGGAAGAACATACTGAAAACTGTATGTTGGCTACACAGAGGGATAATCGTCTGTGCACAGTACCCTCAGGCCTTTCAGGAACAAAAGATCTACTGTAGAGGTTCACTGAGGCCAACGGCAAGCGTGGAATCAGCTTCACGGGTGATTCACTTCAGTCTTCACAGGAACGGTGTACCTGTAACCGTCAAAAGAGGCGATACTGCAACCACACGGGTCTTAAAGGAAAACTCCAAGTTCAGTACAATTTAAGCTCTATCAGCAGCATGTTGATTACCATACATTTTTGAAAAACAATATGCATGTTATATTTAACACATAATTTGTTTACCAACCGTTTCTGTGTAAGTTATAGTCCATTTTATTTTTAAGTTTACATTCCAAAACTCGTCACCATCACAACATAAGGCCTAAAAATTTAAAGGTAGCATAAAAATTGTAATTTAAACAGTCTTACAGCTCAAATGTACATGCTTTAACAGAACAATTAATAGAAGTGCTTTTATAAATATATATATATATATATAGTTTATAGTTTCACATTTCTGCTTTCAAATCCTTCAAAATTGGCCCGGGGTTACTATCGTTAACAAAAACTAAATTTAAAACTATTAAAACATTGTTGTTATGAAATGAAATGTGATATAAATATAAGAGGAAAAAACTATACTAGGTGAAAATGAGAAATTACCTCATATATAAAAAGTACAATACCTCATAAATAAAAAGTAAAACTGAACTAAAATAACAATAAATGTAACCTAAATAGTAATATTACAAAAGCTACTATAAGCTTAAACTCAAATTAAACTGAAAATATAAAAATAAAAGCTAGTTAAAATATTAATGAAAACTACTATAGTAAATAAATAATACTTAAAATAACACTGCTGAACTTGAATTGAATCTGGTATATTCCTTTAAATGATGGATCTGGATTATGTCTATATAATTGAAACAAGTGAGGGCAGGAAGAGCTGCAAAAACTAAACATACAATCTAGACACCTTGAGTGGCTTTTAAGTGTGGCTAATGAATAAATATGTCGTTTCTGTACATTAGATCAATCAGTCAGGCTCAGGTCAAATCACAAATCACAGACATCTGTACTACAGCTGCACAAGACAAAGAGAAAAATCCAGAAATCCAGCTTTTAGCTCAGCCTTATAATGGGGGCTGAGGCCCCCTCAACGTTTATATAGGCTGATACATGAAAACCCATGAGTGTTTGTCTTGGAAACTTGCTGTGGAGTTTCACTTTGCTATGTACAATCCTGCTGGATGATAATGACAGCCATACCTCCCAAGCCTCGAGGTTTCCAGAGAATTTACAAAGCATCATTAGTAAATTAATTGGAGTCAGCTATTTAAAAGGTAGCAGATAAGCCATGCCGACTTATTTCTGCACTGGGAAATGTCTGCATGAGTGTGTGTAAACGCTATGGAGCCCCTGCTCATTTCCCCTAAGCTTGGTGGAAAATGCTGACTTGAGTTTCACTTTTAATGTAATTTTTTCATAAAAGCCGCAGTCTCCAGCAGACTTCCAAGTCGGCCACTGCTGAAAACAGAAACTGCTGTCATGGAACAAATGATTGAGATGAGAAGGAAAGCTTCAATGCCACCCAGCAAAGCTTTGCAGATTCAATCCATGCAGGGCATGTGTACTGTACATCATTTATGACCAGGGCTGGATATCGGAACTGATTAGCAGATTTGTTTACATTCTGATTCAATTAAATCTTAAAGGTGCAATAG